GCCGGCGCCCTCGGCCTGTGCCTGGCGTAGCCCCCGCGCTTGCGTGGTGGTGTTGCTGCCCTCGGGGCTTCGGCGCCCCCTCGCCGAGGCTTTCGGGTGCATGGTCGCTGCGTCACTCACCGCCCATGGGCCTTCCCCCTCGTGCGGCGTACGGGCCTTGGCGGGTGCGAGGCGCCGCTGTTCCTGCCCGACCTCCTGGGGGACCGGGGGCGCCGGCCCGTGTGGCCCGACACCCCGCGCTGGACGGCATTCGCTGTCTGGTCCTTCGGGGGTGAGGCCGGGATGTCCCATGGGGCGCGGCCGCTCGGGCCCGACCCCCTGCGCTGGTTGGCGCTTGGCGGGTGGATGCTGCATCGAGGCTACAGAAGGGCCGTTGACCTAAGGAACCCTAAATAAGGAACAAGGCCCCTTTTTGCCACAAGTTCTACTTCTGTTTCCCATGGAAGACCTCAGGAAAGCCTGAGGCAAACTTTGAAACAATCAAGGAACACCGAGCCCCTCCCCAACGAAAAGGGTTCCTTCTTCAGGGCCCAGACTGTAAGTGGCTATTGCCTGGCTCATCCCGCCTTGATTGGGGGTGATGCGTCGTCGCAGGGTGTGGGACTCGGCCTGGCACGCATCCGAACTGCTTCGCGATCGGCCTTCGGTACACTGCTGGCTTCTTGCCGGCTTCGGCACGGTGCGCGTCAGGGGGCACTACGCACGCGCACACTCACACGCACAAACACACACACACACACACCCACACACACACACACACACACACGCACACACGCACACACGCGCGCACGGACACACACACACACACACTCTCCACTGCTTGCAACGGGTCTACTGTCTCAGGACGCAGGCTGTGGCCGGTGCAAGATCGGGGCGATCCGCCAGGAACGCCAACTAAGCCACTCAGCGAATGAAGATTCAAGTCAGGGCGACAGAATTGTAGAACGCCCACATACACACTTGTATCCGTAGAGCAGCCACTACCTCAGCACACGCGCAGCTGCGCATGCTAGACCCCAAGCATGTGGTGAGGAACACACGCGCACGCAGACTCTCAAAAGCACACGCTCTTCCTCGGCAGCACGCGTGCGTGCAGCACCACGGCGGTCACGATAGGTGGAGAACACACAAACAAACTTGTTTTCTCTGATACTGCGGGCAGCCGCGCTGGTGGGCGACGCTCGAACTCGTATGATGTTCCGTGCGAAGTGGCCCCAATCACGCACCTGTAGCTTCGCGGCTGTCTGGTCCAACGCAGCTCTAAGAAAACAGCACGCGCTAGAGGCTGATTGCCACCGCACGTGTGCCGAGGAGAGGTCAGACCGAGGTGCGGAAACGCATGCCAAACGCCGTGCCGCGCCACCCTTTACCTTTTACCCTTTTCTTTCTGACTCTCTCTCTCTCTCTCCCTCCCTCCCTCCCTCCCTCCCTCCCTTCCACACACACACACACACACACACGCACGCACGCACGCACGCACTGTGGCACGCACGCACGCACGCACGCACGCACGCCTGCACGCACGCACACACACACACACACACACACACACACTAAAACACACACACACACACACACACACTCATTAAAACACGAACACTTTTTAAGCCAGCGGCACAGATGGTCCTCGGGCGCAAGAAGAAGACGGAAATGCGAATTGCGATCAACCGAAGTCGAAAGCGCAGTAAAGGGAACGTCAATCACTGACGTGCAGGGATGGGGCGTGGGTGGGACGGACTGTGACACAATTACAAACACGCACGCGCTTTTTGAGCGTTCGCGGGCTGGAGCCACTCCAGCCAGACACTGTCCGCTGACGCGCGCGCGCCCACTGCGCAAAAAGGATGCCGCCGGGCCCCCACGGGGGCGGTGGCGGGGCGAGGGGAACAGCGGCCGCGGCGGGGGGCCAGCGGCAAGGCGGGGGAGAGCAGCAGCAGCCCGGGTTGGCGAGGCAGCAGGCGAGGCGGCAGGCGAGGCGGCCGCCAAACGGGCGGCGGAGCCAGCCGGCGGCGGGCGGCTGCCAAACGGGCTGCAGCGAAGCGGGAGCGGCGCACACACAGAAGTACGCACACATACATACATACATACATACGTACGTACGTACGTACATACAGACAGACAGACAGACAGACAGACAGACAGACAGACCGACAGACAGACAGACAGACAGACAGACAGACAGACAGACAGACAAGCAGACAGACAGACACACAGACAGACAGACGGACAGACAGACAGACAGACAGACACCTATACATATACATATGCATATACACATACACCTACGCATGCATATAAACGTACATACCATTTACATTTACATTTACAAATACATATGAAAATACAAATATAGACACGCGCACACACACAACTACATACACATACGCACACACACACACTTTCGGGCGGTCGTTGCCTCGCGCGTGGCGACTTCTTAAGTCGCCGCGCGCCTACCGGACTTGCTTCGCCCTACACGCGAAGCGAGTCGGGCACGGCGGCCGAAACCTGGGCCGGCGCACGCGCGCGCCGGCTCCGAGGGGGGCGGCACACTGCAGCTCGGGCGTGGGCGGCCGGGAGAGCACGCACGCACGCGCGCCTCCCAGCACGCACGCACGGCGCCGAGAAGGAACAAAACAAAAAAAGACAGGCGGCTGGCGGTGCGCGCTTCAAGGGGGCGGGCGAGGGGCGCTGCCTCCCGACGAGGCAGGGGGGGGGCCTGCCCTCCTTCGACCGCGCACGGCTCGCAGCATGATCTCCCTGCCGCTCCTCCTCGTGCTGCACCTCCTGCTCGACCCCTTGCTGGCCCTTCTCCTTCTCCCTCCTCTCTGGAAGCCCACGCGCACCGCGCCTCCCTCTGAGTGCCGGGGGGGTGGAGCGGGGGGGCCTCTCAGAGCCCCCCCCCCCGCCTGGCCTCCCAGAGCGCTACAGGGAAGAACTCCAGACCTGCAGACCTGCCTGGGCTGCCCACGTCCTCGACGGGGAGGCAGATGCCGAGGGCCTGGTGCTGCGTTTGAGCCCTGCTGGGAGGTCAGGGTCGGACCCCCCCCTGCCCGCTGCACGGCCCTCTAAACCAAGGCTAGCAGGCAGGAAATCCACCCCCCTTTATTATCGCCCCGACAAGCGAGGCCGTTTCGCAAGCGCACCCAAGGTAGGAATCGAGCCGGGCAGGGCTGTTGAGTAAACGCCCAGGGCCGCTCAGTCAACGCAGCTTGTCGGGTCTGGGTGGTTTTCGGGAGCGGCCAACAGGGGGGTGTCCAAGAGGGGGGGGTGCAAATCATGACTGGCGGCATGTGCGCGGCCCAGCGGGGGGGCCAGGGACGTAATGAAATAAGAAGAGGCGCCATGAAATCTGGGGAAATGTCATGGCCCACGCCATGATATTCCCACCCCTAGTCATCACCCCCCTCTTTTCCGCCCCCGAGGTTTTCCTGCCTTGAGAGACACCGCACACCACCCGGGACACTGAGCCCTCCACACGGGGGAACGAGCGGATCCCGGAGAACGCCCCGGCCCCACGGCCGCAGCTCTCTCTCTCTCTCTCTCTCGGGCGCGCCACGGCTTTGCAGTCCGCCTGGGCCCCACAAGATCTGGCAGGAGGGGTGAGCAGGGACCGACCGTCCCGGCATTCCTATGGGCCTACCACGACATGTTCTCAGAACCCTAAAATGTCCTGTGAGCAAAACAATGCTCTTAGAACATAGACCCGATGCCTTAAAGCAAGACAGTCCCAGCCAGAAATGCTCTAAGAACACTCCGTGGAAACCACGACAGGCTCTTAGAACATCGTTTGGTGGGACTATAGGCGAGCCAAGACGCTTCGCCACTGCTTGATGAGGGGGGCCTGAAGCCAAGCCCGCTCAAATCGGTCCCCCCGATCCCTCCCAGGGTCCCTCTGGTGCAGTGGCTCGCCCCGGACCTGTGTTTCATGGTCCCGGGGCCCAGCCCTCCGAGGCCGACAAGGGCAAAAGACTTTCTCGAGCCCAGAACCTCGATAGGGGGCAACATGCGAACCCCACCCCTACACCCCCACGATTTCTGAGAGGGAGGGTGGGGTTCACTTCGCTCGGGTGCACCCGAGCGAAGTGAACCCCACCCTCCCTCTCAGAAATCGTGGGGGTGTAGGGGTAGGGTTCGCATGTGGCCCCCTACTCGAACCTGAAGGGGCCCTGGGACACACAAAATGAATACACACGAATAAAAAGATTGCCCTATATTTTCCTGGGGGTGGAGGATTCATTGTGCTTGTGTGCTTTTTCACCTCCTGAGAACCTCCCCCCCCCTGCCTGATCGCCCGAGCTAATACCGGGCCGCCTCAGACCCCCCGCCGGCTCCAACGCTCCGGCTCTGGTTGAGCCGCGTCCCCGTTTAGAGGGCCCCGAGCAGAGGCCGGCGGGGTGTCCCTGGCCATCGCTCGGACGTCCATTCCCTGTGTTTGTTTGTTCGGTTTCGTGCGTGGTTTTTTCGCCAAATGATCAAGGATGCTCCTCGATGGTCCTCGCCGAAAAAAAATCACACGTCCGAGCGATGCCAAGTGCCAAGTGTCCTGGGAATGGACGATTAATTGTGTTTGTGTTTTTTCCCCTCCTGAGAACCTCCCCCCTCTGCCCGATCGCCCGAGCCACTGCCGGGGCGCCTCAGACCCCCAGCCGGCTCCAACGCTCCGGCCCTGGTTGATCCGTGTCCCCGTTCAGGGAGCCCCGAGCAGAGGCCAGCGCTTACTGGGCCCTGGAAACGACAAGGCTGTTTTTTAACCGGTTCCGTTTTGCCGTTTTTTTGCCGGTTCCGACGCCGTTTTTTTTACCGGATCCGTCGCCGTTTTTTGATCGGTTCCGGCTCCGGTTCCAATCCTGGAGCCGTTTTTGTTGGCCTTTCCGCTTGCTGTTTTTTTGCCGTTTCCACTCTCAAGGGTAATTTTTCTGGAAACGGTGAAAAAACGGCCCTGCCGTTTCCGGGGCCCACAAAGGGCCAGCAGGGAGTCCGTGTGCGCGGCGCGGAGGCGCTCAGACCCACAGGTCGCTGGGGTCCCGCGGGGCCCACGCGCTCCGCAGGGCGTCGCGGCCGACGGTCTGGAACGCGTTGCCTGCGGATGGTGGGGGGGGGGCGGGATCGCCGCACCCTCGCAAACACCAGGCCTTCGGGCCTCGCAGGCAGGGAGGGAAAGGGGGAGGGAGGGAGGGAGGAGGAGTAGGAGAAGAGAAGAGAAAGGGGGATGGGAGGGAGGAGGGAGAGAGGAGGGAGGGAAGGAGGAGGAAGAGTAGGATGAGGAGGGGGAAGAGGAGAAGGGAGGGGAAGAAGGAGAAGGAAGGGAGGGAGGGAGTGGAGGGAGGGAGAGGAGGGAGGAAGCGGAGGGAGGGAGCGAGGGTGCAAGGGTAGCGGTATCGGTACCTGTTGCGGGCAAAATGTTTTGCCACATCCACTGCGCCTTGGAGTTTCCGGCTCCCTTCCCCAGAAACCGGAGGCGCGGTGGATGTGGACAAAAATTAGCTCCCATAGAGACTGGCTTCTTATCCATACCCACGGCGCTTCGGCCTCTTGGCGCCCTTTTATCCTGAAGAATCCAGGACGCAATGAACAGGGACACACACACACATATGTATGTATGTATGTTTGTTTGTATGTATGTATGTATGTATGTATGTATGTATGTACGTATGCATGCATGCATGCATGCATGCATGCATGCATGCATGTATGTATGTATGTATGTATGTATGTATTTATGTATGTATGCAAACATGTATGTGTGTGTATGTATGTATGTATGTATGCATGCATGCATGTATGTCTGTCTGTCTGTCTGTCTATCTGTCTGTCTGTCTGTCTGTCTGTCTGTATGTATGTACGTATGTATGTATGTATGTATGTGTGTATGAATGAATGTATGTATGTATGTATGTATGTATGTGTGTATGTATGTATGTATGAATGAATGAATGTATGCATGCATGTATGTATGTATGGTTTTATGTATATATATGTATGTGTATGTATGTATGTATGTATGTATGTATCTATGTATGTATGTATGTATGTAAGTAAGTAAGTATGTATGTATGTACTGCAGGTCCGTGCCGTGTCGACCCCAGCGTTGGTTCCCGACACCGCGCTGGCTCGTTCAACCTTGAACGATCGGCCGCTGCCGCAACGTCCGATCGTTCAACATCGACCGATTCTGGGTCGCCGGCGGCGCTCAACCTTGAACGTCGGCGGCGGGGTCGCCGCCGGTCGACACGACGCAAACCTACCGTATGTATGTATGCATGCATGTATGTATGTATGTATGTGTGCATGTATGTATGTATGTATGTATGTATGTATGTATATGCATATATATATATATATATATATATATATATCGTAGCACCCCGCAATTGCGGATAAGAGTGAGGGGGGCGGGCGCGGGGTGGGTCGCGGGGTGGGTCGCGGGTGGATCGCGCGGGTGGGTCGCGGGGTGGGTCGCGGGTGGGTCGCGGGGTGGGTCGCGGGTGGGTCGCGGGTGGGTCGCGGGCGGGTCGCGGAGCGGTGGGGGGGGGAACGACGCCACAAAACAGCAACAAGAATCCTCGCCGTGGATCCCCACTTCAACCACGCACCCATGGGACAATGAATGACTGTTCGGGCCCCCTCACTCGGAAGCCGGGCAAGGGCTGCTAAATCCGTGGCTGCTAAAATCGACCTCCGGGCAGTTGTCTTCGTCTTTCCGGGAAGAAACCCGTTGACTGTTTCGCGTGCCGCGCCTCATTCCGGGAAGTTGTTTTTGCCTTCCGGGAAGGCCGTTTTAGCAGCCACGGGTTTCGCAGCCCTCGCCCAGCTTCCGACTCACTCTGATACACATCTTGCCCGCACCCTTTTCGCTCCTCCTCCCAGCTTTGGGGAGGAGGTCTCCCGGGCCGCCGTGGAGCCACAGCTCCCGGAGCTTCGGCGCGTACGGGAGCGCCCTCCCGAGTGCCTGGGCGCCGGCGTCCCCGATGCCGTTGCCCTCGAGGTCGAGGCGCTGCAGCGCGGAGGCGCCGCCGCTCTGGACCGCGGCGGCGAGGGCGGCGGCGCCGTCGTCCCGGATCCTCAGGGAGGCGCCCAGTGAGGCACGCGTGAATGCAGTCGAGGTTGCTTGGAGAGGACACGGGGAGAACACACAAGACTTACGTTGCTCCCATCGTACTTAAGGGCCACATCCAAGAAATGATTTCGAGCACCCGGAGAAGTGTCGAAGGAGTGTCGAAACAGTGTCGGACGAGTGTCTCCCAGGGTCTGACGCGCGAAAACCCGTGAGTTTCGATACCTTTTCCTGGTACTCGAAATTCTTCCTGGTGAGCAAGGCTGAAGTAGGTTGGAACATCATAACCCAAGACCCTTCCGAGGGCCACACTGCCACAGGAATGCAGGAGGCATGGGTCGCGCAGCACAGGACACGAGGGTACCCTTGATTTGGCAGGGTCGACCTACTCGTCAGTCTCGACTGTAGGCACAACTTCCAGGACTCCCCATCGATCTCAATATTTT